ACACGTTTTAAGATAACAAATAAAACATAAATTGTATTGATTAAAAATTAAGATCAATAGTATTTTTTCGTGATAATAGTAAACAATGTTGACAAACATGATGATTTAATAATGTAATTTTCATTACATTGACTTTTCCACAAGTATTTAAAGGTGGCAAAATCCTTTCAGACTCGACACACTTACATACTAGATGAGTAAATGTTTACATTATATTTTATTTTATTATTACGAAAAATCTCACAATCTTAAATGAGATATGAAAATTTTTAATATATTTTATCATATTTAAATTATAATTTTTATAAAAAATCCTACTTATGCCATTTCATACACGAAAAAATGTGCAGATATTCCGAGTATTTTAAAATATCAAAGATAAAGGTAATTATATTCTTCATTTGGTGCGAACTTATATTATAAATTTATGATTAATTTTAAATATTTGATTACAGACATATCCATTAAAAATTAAAAAAAAATTAATACATAACTCCGACGAGTTTAGTAATTAGAGAAAGAAACTGTGTTCAGAGTTTCTCCTAATGTTCCTTATTTTAGATAGATAGTTTATCCTTATTTTAAGTTATTTAAACGAAATAATCATTTTTAATTTTGAAAAATGGACACTAGACTTAAGTTTTATATTTCATAATCTAGTCATATTATACTTATGTTTATTGATACAAAAATTTTATTCTTCAGCCTTTTGTAAAATACTTTAATCAAAAATTACGATTTGGGAAATCTTAAAAATTTAATAACTCAAATATTGACTAGCTAATTAAATTCCAACAAGCAATCTAAAAGCATCAATATATATACTTACAATATCATTATCTAATAATGCGTTGAATGTGCCAATAGCGCTTGGCTGGTTAACATCATCATCGTTTATGTTTTATTTTATTTTATTTTATTTTTAAAAAATAAGAGACGAACTCTTGAGAGATAATTATATAATTTATTAATTAAATGGAAAAACCTAATTTTTTGAAGAAATTATATAGAATAATTAATTTAAGAAAATTCTGGTTCTATATATATAGTAGAATACATTAAATCGAATAATATCAATATTATTCTTTAAATGTTTATTCATTGCCTATATTTACAAAAATCCTTCTTATAGAACTTTATTTTTATGAAATGTAACATTAAAATTCAAATTGAGAGATATATTAAAGGTTTAAATATTTATCAAATATTAATTAATGATTTTATTTTTAGCTTAAGAGATAAAAATAAATATAATATATGTAATTAACTAATAAAATAAATAATCAAAAAAATTTGCAAATTATTTCTAGTCAGATTTGATAAAAAATTGTTTCTTCTATAATAAAAAGAGTGTTTGGGACTGCAATTACCATTTTTGCTACATTTCATTTGTGCAAAAATCTTTCCGTCTTAAAAAATAAGCCCTCCTTGCTTAGGTAAGCATTAAATGAGGATCTTCCAAAATCCGGATGGTTCCTGTTACATTACAACGTACGCGTGATGAATATCAATTCTTTCTCTCATCCTTGAAATCCATTGGCCGTATTCCTTCAATGTTTCGGGCTGATGTTTTATTGCAGGATCTTAACAAGTTTACCATTTTCCAACTAGGCTAAATACAAGCTAATAATGCCAATCTCTAGGGTGCCACGCTTCAATTTCTAAAATCATCTCCAATACCTCAATTACACTATCAGATTCTGCTTGATTATATTTGGAGTTTTAAAAGTTGGTTCATTTCCAGACAATTGAACTATTGCAAATCTATTCAATATGAGAAATTTCATTGATCCCATTCTTCATCTTACTTTCGTAAAAGTAATTTCAGTGTGAATTCAGTTCTGGATGTCAAGTAGGTAAACAGGATATAACTCATTAAACTTCGTTCAACTAGTGAAATGGAATATCCTACAATTGTTTATGGTCACCTACTAAAACCAACGGAATAAGGCAATTACTTGAGATGCTTCTTCCACAATTACAAATCTAAAATAATTTTTTTTAAAAAATGTGATTTTATAGAACTCGAGATAAATTTGTGGCTTATATGTCAATTAACTGAATCCGGTAAGCATTGTGGATTGTAATTTTTAGATAGTGTAACAAGGAATATGATCTGATTCAATCATTTCACTTAAGTAAAGAAGCATCTTTATCAACAAAAATGTGATTAATAGTTTTTTAATAAGGGTATTTCATGACGTTCATTAAATTTGTAGAGCTCTATGATATGAATTTTAAATGTTTTAATATTTTGATTATGCTAACAAAATTTTTATTTCCAACCAGCCCTATAAAAAAAGAATGTCCAGAATTTAACAGGTAAATGTATTAAAATAATAATGTACAAATTCTGAGCATTTCCATTGTCCGGAATATGTTCCAAATCCTGGTGGATTCTGGACATTCATTTTGTCTGAAAAATGTCATTGTCCAGAATTTAATGTTCAATTTCTTTTGTAAAAATGGAACATTTTTCAGATAATTTTCGGACATAATCCTGTTTTCTAAATATTTTCCAGATATAATTATGTTTTTCAAAATGCATTCCATTTTTCTGAACGTTTTTAGACATTTTCATTATTCATAATATCAAATTTGTAACTTAATAATTTATTAATATTTAATTTAAATTAACACTATATACAGTTTATGCTATATAGATGTTGATGTCAGGTGATTCTACTTTATATAGTGAAAGCTATGATCATTTCCAAAAAGGAAGGAATAGGTATAAATTTGGTTAGCTTTATGCAGGAACTATGGGGCCGTTTTTATTTATATTGATATCAATATTGATATCAATATCAATATCAATTTCAATTTCAATATCAATACCAATATCAATAACAATTTCAATATCAATATCAATATTGATAGAAATAACAGTTGTTTATATATGATTTTTTTAACAAAAAATTGGGACTGAATGATTATGATTATTAATTAAAATAAATGAAAGAATTTGTTAAAAACATATCCTGTGTAATGAAAATCTTGTTTCATCTGATAATTTCAGCCAAAAGGAATAAACTAATTTAGTCTAAGAAAAATAAAAAAAATCACTGATGATCTAACCTAAAACTGCCTAAAAAAAATTAAAATAAATAAATAAATAAAATTAATAATCAAAATTTATTACCAAAATAAGAATAGAAAAAAAAATCAAAAAAAATTAGTTAGCTCACCTTTCACCATAATAATAAATAATCAGTTCTATTCAAAGGTTTCGTCTAGTTCTTAGCCAACTGATCGAACCTAAAAAAAGTAAATAAATATTAAAACAAAAAAAGCAATATATTAAATAAAAAAAAATAGAGAAAAAAAAATGATGACTTACCTTCGCCTCTGTTTAAAGGTTCTTAACCTAAGTAGAGGAACTGATCGAACTTAAAAAAATAAAAAAATAAATTAAATATTAAAAATATAAATATATAAACTAAATAAAAAATAAAATAAATAGCTTACCTTCGCTGTAATAATGAATTAGACAGTTTCATTTAAAGGTTTTATCTGATTCTTAACTCAAATATGAAACTTAATCATATCTAAAAAAGGAAATAATAAAATATATATATCAAATAAAAAAAAAAAATAAAGAAAAAAATTAAATATTGACAACTTACTTTTACTGTAGTTATGAACTGAATGGTTCTATTTAAAAGTTCTGTCTGATTTCTAATCCAAGTGTAGGATCTGATCAAACTTAATAAAAAGAAATAACAAAAACATATATATCAAATAATAAAAATAAAAATAAAAGAAAGAAATTAAACATTGATGGCTTATCTTCACTGTGATAATGAATCAGACAGTTCTGTTTGAAAGTTTCATCTAATTTCTAGCCTAAGTGAAAAGAGAAATGATCAAACCTAAAAAAATAAAATTAATTATTAAATATTAAAATAAAATAGAATAGCATTGACAGCTTACTTTTGCCTTTGTTCAAAGATTCTTAGCTTAAGTAGAAGAATTGGTCAAACCTAAATAAATAAAAGTATAAATTAAATATTAAAAAAAAATAAATAAATAAATCAAAAATCAAAAAAAATAAGAAATTTACTTTATTAACATATAGTCTATTTTTCATTGCTTATATTATATTATTTAGTTTTATTACAATTATTATTTATTAAAGGCATAGATTAATTAGCAAATTTTTATAAATAGACCTGTAAGTTAACCTTAAATTGACAGAGTTTTCTTAGATATTAAGATAAGTCTTGAGACTAGACTTATAACTCTACAATTTTAATAAAATTACTATTTTACACTTTAAACCTACTTCTTGTCTTCATATCAGAATTTGATAGTGATAACTAACTACATAAGTGAATCATAATAGTAAATTATTTTGTTTGTTAATCGTTTATTTTTCTTAGAAAAGGACTTCAAGATAATTGAAATTTTAAGATATTTAATTTGTTAGTTTAGTTTTAATTTAATTCAGATATAATGCTGGTTTCTTCAAATAAAACCAGATTTATTATATTTGATTCCTTTAATTAGATTGTAAGTATATGTCTTTTTTATTAGTTTTGAAACTAAATTTCCAAATATCATTTTATTAAAAGCATTTTCCAATATTTTAAGTTATATTCACAAAAGTTTATAATATCTGATATCAAATTATTACTATTCTTTTTTTCCTAAACTTTAATAAATAAAAATATATTTTGAATTATATTTACTGATTGTATTATTTCTGGATATTATTTATATTTTATCAAAATTTATTATAGTTTTTAATCAAAATTGAGGAAAATCAATTCTAGTTTCACCTCTTGTTTAAAAATAACATCACTATAATTTGTTATTATACATTCATATTAATAATCAGATAAATGATTATTTGACATATCTATTACATTAAAAAATAAAGCTATCTAAAGGTTATGACATCAAATTCATCATCGTGATCATTATTTTCTTCATTCATATTATCAAATTCTTTATTTTGATTCTTATTAACATTAATAGCTAGTAATGATAATATAGGTATTATTCTGAAATTATATAATAATGTTGAAATAGTAGAAGTATCTAAACATCTTGGTAGTACTAATAGTATATCTGTTAAATTTATCCAAGTTTTTTTTTAGTTTGCTATATGTCTTATATGAGTTGCTTTACTAACTAACTTACCCAATCTATTTGATTTTTGAAGATACCAAATACATTGTTAACCCTATGCTCAGCCTGTTGAACTTAGGGTAACTATGACTTAATAATAAAGAGTAATATATGAGAAACTACTAAGTTACTATAGAATAAGTTCTATCACAATCAACCTTAGGTTTATTCTTTTAGATGAGTAAATAACTTTATAACTTGTAAATACAATAAACACAATTGACATGTTGAAGGATTTTTTTTAATATATGTAGTTTATAAAGAGATTTCTTTATTGTAGAGATTTATATGCTTAGCGATCCTTAACCTTGGATTCTAAGTCTTGAACTTGAACTATTGAGTTTATACTGTTATTTTTGACTTTTTATAAGAATAAATTTCTATTCTATTTATATAAAAATACAACTATAAGAAATTACTATCTAATGTTAAACTATTTTATAATGATAAGATAAATATAAAAGATAAATTATAATTTAACAATGATAATAATATAATAGATAATGATAATAAAATATAAGAATAAAATAAATAAAATAAAAATGTTAACTAAGTTAAAAATGCTAATGATGTTAATAATATTGATCATTTGTCAATCTTTATGCTGCAGTAAGATTGACTTTATATAGTATTAATATATATAAAGAACTTGATTATTAACCATTTTAAAGATAAAATATTAAAGAATTTTAAATTTTTTATTGTGAAAATGTTGAAAAGTTTTGCCTTTTTCAATAAATATATAAAATAAAATAAACAAGTCTATTTATTCTATCATAATAGAAATATTATATACTATTTTAAAGCTTATTTTTATTATTATTAATAAATAAAACTTTATTAAAAATAATTAAAATCAATATTAATATTGATTATAAATATGAATTAATAATTAAATAAACTATTTGTATTACTATAAATAAATTATAAATAAACTTTAATTTTATTATTAATTTTCGTTCTTTTTCTTTTAACTTAAAATAAAAATTCTTTAAATTTTAATTACTTAAAATGATATAAAATACAAATGCAATCAATATTCATATACTTAATATCAAATAATAATGACAAAATTTTCTTGATTTATTTGAAGCTAATCTGTCTTTATCTAATATTTTAAATTCTGAATAACATCATCGATTATTTGCAATATTAGTTACTATTAATTCTTCACTTATAGCATTACTTTCAGATGCACGTAATGCTATACAGAGAATTACTAATGAGTAAGTTTTTTTAATTTATATTTAAAAATATTTTATTAAATTACTTAATTAACATGGCAAGGTTATATTGCAGTTTCCAAAAGGATCTGCAATGAATCTAATAAAACTTCAGGAATATAAAGAGTATAAATGATAAAATAAGAATAATTTTCAGTGGCATGAGTTTTTAAGACTTGATAAAAAGTAATATTTAAACTTTAGGTAAATAATATCTGTAAAATACAGTATAATAATTTATTTTATTAATAAATAATCATTGTTATCATCACATTATAGAATGATCTTTGAAATCATATAACTTCAAGATTTTTACATAATAATTCTATTTTTTGTCAGTAAAAAGAAAAAATAGAGGAAGTTATTAAAGATGTAAATATTCAGAATTCATATATAAAAAAGAATAAATATATAAAATCTATTGTATTTATTATTCTATTATTAATTTAGTTTAGAAATACAAATTCAACATTTTTAATTTCTGAAGCTGATTTTATTCTTCATGAGTGGCTTATTTCATATTGTAATAGTATAGGTAATAAATAGTTTATATTTAATATAAACTAATATTATTTTACAAATAATTAAATTTTATATTATCTTTTATAGTAGAATAAATCAAAAAAAAAAAAATTAATGAAGCAAAATCATATGGTCTTCTACTACCACCACTAAAAAAAATGTACATCTTTCTAAGTACAGTCAACTCTTTCTACAACGAATTTTGATATAATGAATTTTACAATACAACAGATTTTCAGTGTCAGACAGATTTTTAAATATAAAAAAACCCTTACTATACTGAATTTAGT